CAGGAAAGGTTTCATCCAATGTAAGTTACCTCGGAGGGCATGGTGTTGTTCTGGACTTTCTTTGTTTCATCACGGGGAGAAAGGCTTTCTTCATGTGTATCATCCCTAGGATTTATGTCGATCATGTTAATTTTCAGTTCATTGGATCGTCTAGACCCATTAGATTGTACCTTGTTTAACTTCAGGCTATCCTTGTAGCATTTCCTGGATAATCCTCGGTCGCTCTTGACCACCCTGACCCGACTATCCCCCAGGGGATATTTCATGGTAATATACAGGGCGGATAGTGCGGCCTCTATGGCATTGAAAGAAGGTCTCCTGATAATGACATTTTATGGTGAGGCGTCGTTGACGATCAAGTACCTTACAATAACAGTTTTGGAATTTGCACTGCTTCTGAATATAGTAAGCACCGGGAGGTGCCCCAATACTTGTACTTTTTCTCCGGATAATATGACCAAGGTGTCGTTGAAGGGCAACAACTCCGAAGTATCAAATTCCATTCCTTTGAAGGCTTCCCAGTACAGAACGTATGAATTGAAGGCATCTTAGCTTGAGAGGAACCAGCGGGTTTATCTGTCTAATCTAGCTTAAGCCCCTGTCTCTGTCTCTTACACCAAAAGTAAGTGACTTATTTCAAAGTCCCGTAACAACAATCTCTTTTTAAAGGATGGATCTTAGGTGTTGATGACGAATAAGAGTTTTTGCCATAGCCTTCATGTGCTGATACCAACTAGTATCATATAGTTGAGTGAATGCTAGATATGCCTTGCATTCCGGAAGTTCTCGCTTACCGAGCCACACGAAGCAATTGAGCTACCTGAGTTCACCAACACCCATTTTACACTCCAGACCCGGATTTGTACCTTGATGACCATAGGGTCATTTTCATGGGCCATGATTTTGAATGCATCTCTCTTGGAGAAGTTAATTGGGTTGAGATCTTATTCCCGATGTAATACCCCAAATTTGTCCTACCCTTTCACTTTTATCTGGTTTATGCATTTTGCGCTTCTCATTTCATCTGCATACCCTCCATTAGGTCATTTAACACATCATGCCTAATTAATCAAATAATTTGGCATGGTATCAAGGTATTTTATCAACACAATAAAGCTCTCATAATTTCTAACACATGTTTGAGTTGTCAAAGATTTGGATGTTTTCGGTGAATTTAAAACGGTGCGAATTGGAAATAGTGTTTTGACTGATCTGAGTTTGAAAATTTGAATCTCCAGCTTGAAATGGTGTTTTGGTTTAATTCTTGAGGTTTTAAAATTGTCTCGATTTTCTCTTCAACCCTCATGTTCGGACTAAAATCTAATTCTCAAAGGAAAGTCTCCGAATACGCAGTTCTTTTGGAAGTTATATGGTGGAAAATACAAAGTAAAAGGTGTTGAAAGTGTAGTTTTGGCGCACTAGAAAATTCATAACTCAAAGACCGCTCATCATTTGAGACCGTTCCGGTGGCCAAAACTCCAAATTGAAGTCATCTACATTTTTTGTCTCACGGCCTGAAGCCAGTTCTACTCAGAGAGTCTTCGAATATATGAATTTATCAAATTTGTTCGTACAAGAAAATTGTGACAAATGTTCACTTGCTTCATCTTCAGAAAATCATAACTCGGTCGATTCTTATCGTATCAGGCTGGTTTCAGTGGCATTGGATCACAAATTTAGTTGGCTAAATATTTATTTCAGTTTTCCAATTCGAACGGTATCCCAAAGGTCTTTGTTTTTGGTCCAAAACGCGTGCAACACATTTGAAAATCCTGAACCGAGAAATATTTGCATCTGAGACGAAACTTCAAAAAATCATAACTAAATTACCGTTTATCCGATTGAGCCCATCTTCGGACACAGTGTTGTTATCAATGTTGGATTCATTTTAGTTTCACATTTCAACTCCTAAAGTCACGCCGAGACTTGCAAATTTGACCTTAAGGTGTCGGACTCTTATGAACTGAAAATTTGCACATTTGCTTGTGTTTATTGGAGGCTCATTCATTCAAAAAAAAAGGGACACTATATATTCTTATCCACTCCAATTTTCAAAAGAGGACTTTCATAATTGACCAATTCTTAAAAACACTCAAAAAAATTTCTCTCGTCTTGCTCAAGGATCAAAGAGCAACTTTCTCTCATTTTCATTAAGAACACCAACAACTTTTCCAACAAACTTCTTCAAGATCTAAAAGTCAAAGAAGCTCGATTCTTCTCCAATCTCGAATCCGATTGTTGCGATCTCTATATCTAAGCTTCCTCTTCAATTATACAGTAAGCTATTCTTAATTTAAGCACTTTTCAAATAAGTTATTCTTAAATAAGCACTTTTGTGGATCAATAAATTGAACTTGGATCTAATTTAAATTTTTGAAGTGATTTCGATTATGAAAATGTGAATTGATCTTGAATCATCATATAAAAATCCGGAATTGCATGATTGAATAAGTGCTTATTCAATTAATTGATTTTCATGAAATGCTTATTTGAGAAAACAAAATGTTGAAGTTGTTTCAAGCTTAACTGATGATTCTTGATTGATTATGTATGGTCTAATTAGGATCTCTAATTGTGCAAAGATCATGAGTTGAATTTTGGAGAGTATGTGTTTGACAAAATGCTTGAGCCATTGTGCCTTAATCTTACCGCGTGATTCAATTGATTTTTGGTTGCGTACAAATTTCCTTGTGCTATGGTCATTGCATAATTGATGTGAATTTGGTTTTTGATCCGATAAAAGAATGCATCGAAACTCATGAAATCAGATCATGAATTCACATGTAGATCGTGCTAAGATTTCGGAATTTGTCATATAATTTTTGTTGTTTTGGTTTCCGTTTCGTGTCATGGACATTTTATGATTTGCAGGCTTTCTAACAATTCAAACCATACGCGAAACGGACACTCGATGCAAAATTTATGTTACTTCAAAGTAAATTGAACAAAACTGCAGTTGAGTCGACGCATAGCCTTTTTGAGTCGACGCAAACAGTTAGGATCACCAGCAGGAAGTGTTGCGCTGCCTCAGTGGTCAATGCAAACTGAGTAAAATCCTGGGATTGAGTCGACGCATAGCCTGTTGCGGTCGACGCAAACATTCTGGCCACTTGTGGGAAGTGTTGCACCGATCTAGCGGTCGAAGCAAACTTAGAAAATTTCAGGCATGAGTCGATGCATGCCCTGTTGCAGTCGACACATCTTTTTCAAGTTGTTGTTTTTTGCCTCTTTGGTTTTACTTTGGCTATTTTTTACTCCAAATTTCTGCCTACTCTTTTATACTTTAATTTTCATTGTTATTTTTAACATGTGTGTTGATTGTGCAAGGTACATTTGGATAGTTTCTGATCATGTAAATATTACTCGATTATTTGATTAGAAAACTTGTTTGGACTTTCGATTTATGGTCTGAGTTTGCGTTAGACACACATGACATCGTTTTGTGCCCCATATCTTGTATAGTTGTATTTTGTGTATGTGCTCAGAAATACGGATGTCTTAGTTGGCAATTATTTCTGACTTTGTTTGTTTCTGGGTGAAGCTTTCTCGGCACGTACTCCTTGCTTCTCCAGTGCTCTCGTCGGCTTTTTACGATTTGTTTTCTTGTGGTAGTCGCCGTCACTACCTTTGCCCTTCTCCGCACTTTATCGCATTTTTTTACCGCTTTACTAGAAATCGTGAGAAGTAGGTATAATACCCTAAATTTGTCCTGCCTTAAAAAAAATCCTCTGAATTATGAATCATCATGTACATACTCCTCCATTATGTCATCTAATGTATCGTGCATACACTAACAATCAAGGCTTGGTATTAGAATCAAGTGTCATAGAGATCAAGGTTTCACTTGTACATTAGGGTTTCTCTATCTTTTGCAGGGGTTGTTTCAACTATGAAAGCTCAAGAATCTTGATAAGGGTTTATGCTCTATACCCAAAAACATCCGATGAATGCTCACGACTTGAATGTACATCATCAGAGATTCTTGTCTCCTCAAGACTTTAGCTTCACTAATCGGTCATGTGAAATAAATACATGGTTGCTCACACACAAGGCATTCCAAAGTCTCATCCCAATGACCATGAGCTAGGGAATGGAGACTCTACAAGCATCATCTTCCTGTACTCATCACCATCATTTGATTAGGTTTTATTTCCCTAATCAACGTGTTATTCAAGGGGGATTCTCAGTGAAGTCTTGAGTTCATCAATGGATATCATCATTAAAGGGAATTTATCAAAGTGAAATTTATTGAAGGAAACTTGGTGGTATACATGGAAAATTAAGGGTTCATTGGATTAGGGTTTCTTATAAGAACTTATGTTTACCTAAAGCTCTCAGGCATCATGGACAGAGATGTATTTCGTGGTGTTTGCAGTGATCAATTAGTTTTGGAGATTAATGATCAGTATAAGGTGTCTCACTTCAAGAATCATAACTATAGTTTCTCTATTAACTTAATGGTGTTACAAGTCTTCCTACTATGTGTTATACGAATCTTTGGATTTTCATCCATGATTTCATTCAAATTGTTATGGGCAAGGAAGGAACCAAAAATATTTCATGTGAAGACATTCAAGCATCCAAAATAGTGAGGTTGAAGAAAACAATTAAGGTTATGCAAGTTGAAATTTGAAGATTGTTTTGAAATTTCAAATCAAAGCATTTGAAAGATGAAAGTCCTCTTACATTCTTAAAGTGAAAGACTTCAGGAGTCAACCAATGGAAATTGTTTGAAACTTAGAAGAGAAAGGTGTTTCGAAAAATGTATCATTTGGATTTACAAAGTCACAATAAAATATTACGGTGTATTTCCATGTTTCAAGTACTTTGTTACATTGCCAAGTTTTCAAATACTTCATTCCAACTACGCCACAAAAAAAAACTCAAGTACATTACAAGAATGCTTCAAGTTTGCATCGACATCGTTCAAGTTTCATCTACAAAATTCATAGTTACATTCAAGATACACGTAAAACAAAGCATAAACATATCCTAAGTCTTCAAGAACAATGCTTCACGGCCAGTTGTTCTTCCGAACAAATCTTCATACCACTCGCTACCATGTTTTGATGCATGATATTTTCATCATCTCCTTCAAACCTCTTGCCATGAAAACATGTTTGTATCTCCCAAAACAGCCTTGCATCATTAAAGAAACTAATCTCAATTAGCCAAGTTCCAAAAAACCCTTCATCAGTAAAGAAACTAATCTCAATTAGCCAAGGTTCAAACAGCCCTGCTTCAACTGATAAGCAAAACCAGTTCGCTATGCATCTGACAAACAGAAGGATTGATCCAAAACATAAACCATATTGTTACACGCACCACATGCCATAAAATGCAAGGAAAAGGCAAAGAGGATAAATTAAATCAGGTAATTAAGCTCAGAAAACAAAATTGAAAATCAGAAGCGCAAAACAGAAGGGAAGTATGTTATAAGAGGAAAGTATAAAATATTGGACAGCATTTGACAGCTCAGCATAATAGAAATATAATTGAACAATCCATGCCCTCCATCTCATAACCAACTAGCATAGATCCAAGGGATGATTTTCATCAGGATGCTAACTTCCCTAAAACTTCACTAACCATCCTAACTCCATCCAATTCCAAACAGGACTAACCTTTACCAAATTCCAAACATTTAACTAATTAACCGAAAAAAATAGCACAAGAAATACCCGTGACTAACCTTTTTACTATCAGATTCTTTACCAATTATTCTAACATATTTTCAAACTAACATTAATAGTTTCACTACTAATTTCTAAACAATCCAAACTTTCCAACAAAATTAACAACTAACCTATAACCACCTATAACTATTTCCAATCATTCACAACCCCCTAACCGTTTTTAATCAATTCATAACAGAACCCATCTCACTAATCTTCCCTCTAACCGAAAACCAACATAACAAACTTACAAAAGACCATAACAGAATTTTTCTCCTCTAAAAGAATCCAATAACCAAACCTAAACAAAATCTCATCCAAACGCAAGCTGCAACATGCCAATTCAATACCAAAACCAGTTTCCAAGATGAAATCAAAACCAATACAAATTGTCCTAGTAGAAAAAAGAAACTAACAGCCTATACCAGTTCATAACCTCTTACAATTTCTAACAATTTCTAAACACCTTATAACAACCTTTAATAGAATCCAAAAAAAATATAACTCCAACTGCATAGTAGAATTCTCAACAGATAATGAACCAATTCCGTTAACTATCAAAAACATGATTTTCTAACCAACCTCTTAACTACCATAACAGAATTTTCACTAATTCACTAACTACGAATTCAAAATCTTCTAACCATCTAAAAGCTTTTCCTAACAGCCTAAACCCCTAACTGTTTTTTAACAGGTTATAACTTCTAACCAACCTATAACCAATCTGTAACTAAATAACCACCCCCATAATAGAACCAGCAAACTTCTAACAGAAATTCCCTAACTAATTGTCGCAACAGAATTCTAATCTCATAACTAATCTTCAATTAAATTCAGCAGCTAACAAACTAATAACTAACTCTCAAATAGAATCCAAATTAGCTCTAAGAGAATTTTCCAAACTCCAATCCAACCCTCCATCTCATAACTGAATTTTGAGATCCAGTGGCTCAGAGCTTCCCTAATCAATCTATATAACTACATCTTCTTCGTTCAAACATTGACGACCATTTTCATTTCTTTTCATCAGTTTCACACACACCATTTTTCCATATTTTCTCCAATTGTCTGAATTCATCATCTCCTTCACTCACTCACTCTGAAACTTAACTTCCTCACTCTAACCCTCACTCATAAGCTCACTCATATCAGCCATCGAAGCACATTCTCAGAGCTTCAACTGGTGTCAGCTAAGCCTTCTCTACTCTCATTTCGGAAGCAAGAACACACAACACAATCAACAACAGCAATGCATGCACAAAGAAAATGCAGAAGCATAAGAAGAAGGAAAAAAGAACCAGAAGAAGAAGAATGATATTCAAGGAAGCTAAGGGAATAAACAGAAGTAGACGAAGACGAGATAACGTACCTGAACATCGAAATAGATCCTCACCGGAGCCGCCGTCTTCGTCGTCGTTGAGGTAAGAGATTCATCGCCGCTTCATCATTTTTATGGTTCCAGGGTGTGGTTTGGAACTCTCTGAGTTGTTCCCCTGTGTTTATGGCTCCTAATTCTTCGTCATTATATGTAATTAGTATTTCGAGATTTCTAGGGTTTCGGAGTTATACAAATTTGAGGAGTTAGGGTAAGAGTCTAAAGAAACTAAGGCCTGGTATAGACGGAGAAGGTTAAGGCGAAGCGAACAATGTAGGCATAAGGGCGAAAGGATCGCCGCCGCTGAAGGCGATGGATGGCGTGGAATAGCTATTGAGAGACAATAGAAGCTTGGTCTTATAATTGGAAGAGTCACATTTTGAACGTATTCATACCAAACGCAGCATTTCAGTTTCAGTTTTATGTTTTTTTATTATTTCTTTTCTTTACTAATATTCAGAAAATAATAGAGACCATAATAGTGTTGTTCTTGGACCAAAGTGTGTTGGGCTTGGAACCGAATTACTATACGCACCTTCCTGAAGCCCATGTCACACACCATTTTTGGAGCTTGATCCTTACAACAAAAAGTCATTGTGGGCCTCTGCCTTTAGCCCACACACCTCCTAGGGTGTGTTCATACCTCTTGCTGGTCCACACCCCCTGCTTACACAATATAACCCCTTTTAAGTTTGTTTTTTTTAGAATTTCTTTCTTCTTTTATTTTAGATTATTGTATAATTCTTGTTAATAAAAAATATAAAAATCTTAGATTTAGGTGATGTTTTTTTTAGGAATTAATCAAGAGATTTATTTCCCCTTTTACTAACTTTTTAGTCAATTTTAATCGCTAGTTTTAGTCATTTTTATGCCATATATTTCGTTTGCGATTGTTGGTATGGATTGTATGCAATACTTTGGTACCCGCTTCCTAATTTTACTTGTTTGTATATTCTTTCATGAATCCTTAGGAGATTTTGGTTCAAATTTAATCTTCGATTTAATTGAACTAACTTTAGACATTAGGCTTTTAAATCCAAGCATACAAACATTAGGTAGAATTCCATCGAAATTCTAACTTTAGATCCATGATGCATAATAACATTAGGTTTAGAAATAGGCTAGTCTCTCTTTGACTTTTCTATCCCATTTTGCATTTGCATTAAAACAAAAAATTCTTTTTCCTTTCGAACTTCAAAATACTTTAAAATTACTGGTGAGAATCATGCCTTTGTTGAGTATGGGAAATGATAAGCGGGTCTCCTCTCGATCTTATTGTTCTTCCATCTCAAACCTAGGTATGGTTAAAGTCTCAAAGGATCCTTTCATGAATAAGTAGAAAAGTGGCTAATATCTCTCTCTTGAGGTCAACTAGTCATTATCTGCAACAAAATACAAACCAACTCAAACTTTTTTTTGTGCTGTCAAGCACCCTTTCTCTAAAACCTTTTTTAGTAAAGACATGATTAATTTACTTCTGTGCCAACGCGTGAGTCTCCAAAGGTCGAGCTACGACAGGAGGCGGGATTAATATTGTCCATAAAAAACACAAAACAAACAAAAACATGTTAGCCGAACTACGATAGCTCTGATTCTTCAAAAAGGATACATATGCATTAGGGTAGGGCCCAAGCGAGTACAAATTTATTTTCCCTACATTCTTTTCTCCTTTATTTTGCAAGCATTCTTCCTCAGTAATAAATAGTAAGAATAGATTAAACACACCTATAAGATTAGAACAACAGGAGTGGATATCATAGAGTACTACAGATGTGTGGGGTGCTAAAACCTTCCCCTTGCGTAACAGACTCCCTTACCTGATCTCTCGGTCGCAAGACCGTGACCTCTCCCTTCTCCTGTTTTCTCGATGTTTACCTTTCCCTTCATGTGGGATAAAAGACGTTCGATGGAGACTTCATTGTTTGATGACTTCCAGCCAGTTGTTTCAGCTAGCGACTTCACTGGGGATAGGTCGACCAAATACTAGTCCATCCCGGAGTCGCTCATAGCTCTTGTTTTCTTCTCTTTAGGTGTTTATTTATATGCTTTCAGTTTATTCATCCATTCATGATTACCTGAGCATATGTATGCATTACATTTTTCTGTTTTCCGTATACTACTGTTGTACTGGATCTGCTTCTTGATTGGGTTGGGATGTTACTATTGAGGTAAAAGGCCCAGTACCCAGGCCAGAGTGCACTAGGACACTAGGAATAGAGTGGGGGAATGACAACTATAGGAGGTGGTCCGACTAGTGCAGTCATATCACATACCTCGCTAGGATGAGGTTCAATTAGAGGTACTTTCATCATGCATGTTTGTGTTACGATAATTTTAATTTTACGTGCACCCGTGATTTTCGAGTTACCCTTGCCTTACCCTGAACTAGTATTCAACCATGAGTGGGTAGGGAATTATTATCATAGGTATAGTTGGTGACTATGTTCAAATAGTGACTATGCTCAGACAGTGACTATTGGTTCTAATGGTTATGTTCTGGATTTATGTCATTGACTTATTCAGATGGTATTCTGTTTGCGACTGTATGGTTCTCAAATTTATTTTGAGTTCTTTATTGGTATATTTGAAGGTTCATTCGGGCCTTTGATCTTCGTATTCCCAGTATGTTCACAAAATGACCAGCAGTATCTGATGTTCCATAAGCCTTCATATCGTACAATTGATAATCTATAGGGTACTTTGTTCTTGTATGCGTAAAAGCTATGCCAGACCTTTGATCAGGTGATATCCATATGGTTCAGAATAGTGCAGCAATCATATTCAGAAATGGTTGAACTTTGATCCAATTTGACCCCATGTATTTGCATACATAACATGGTTGACCACATGCTTAACATAACATGGTTGACCCCATTTGTAAGCCTTGTGCTAAACTTTTCCATCCCTTACTTGCGTAAAATCAAAATCAAAGCATGTAAATTCCTTGGAAACGACAGAACATGACATGACATACATTCATGCACCCCATGCATATTCATGCATTCATAATAGGTATTCAATGATTAGGAATTCTTATTCAGACCCGGTGCACTCTTCAGAGGTTCAAACTTGATTTCTTAATTTCACATGCTCAGAGATCAGTTATAAAATAACTGTGTGATAAACATGTAAGTTTTGGCCCGCGGCCAAGAATTCTTCGAAAAGGAAGATAATCAATTGAAGACTCAGATAAGCCAGGTCATGGAAGCTCTGATGATGATACCAAAAATATTTCACCTACTGTCGCATCAAGCTCTCTCTTCTCCTCATCTTTTAGGAATTGCTTTCAACCATGGAGTGCTACACAATCTTGAGTTCTTGGAACATTTTATCAGCAGATGGTTCCCATTTATTATGAGATCTTATATCAGTGCTTCATTCTTGTTTACCAATGTCATATGTGGTTGCCACACTGGGGCATCAGACTTTTTAATCAGGGGCGTTCTCCACAGTCTTGCGTTCCCTGATCTGTTCGACAACAGTCAGTCTTTCTTCCCCTAGTGAATTCATGGAAAAAAAGGCTTTTAAGCAAAAGCGGAAGAAGCCTGATGAGCATGTTGATGTGAACCCAATGCATTACATCCTATTATTTCCAGCTCTGATCTTTGGGGTCCCCCTCCTACAAACATCTCTTCTGATTGTGATACACATGCTAGAGGTATCACCTATGCTGGAGCACCCGGTTTCGATATTAAAAATTGTAAAGGGGTTGAAGTATAAAGCCTAGCACCTGTCTGGCGTCTCTTCCAAAATTCTATTTCCTATTGGCCAACTGTCGGACTCTTTCTGACCAGGTGGATGTCTCTGTTGTTCTGATAGAAGACGAAATGTATTATTTATGGTGCAATATGCTTGGTGATATGATTTATACCAATTCGCTCGATAAAGCATTCATTCGTTTTCATGAAAGAACCTTCTATGCATATTATACTGGGGCACCTGGCCATTCAATTGAAGATGGCATGTCATCCAGAGACAAGGCTCGAGACAGGCTCAATTCAAAGACGGTTTTGTTCATATCAGATCAGAACGATAATTATCTCGCCTATTTAAGCACATAGGTTGCAGAAAGTCGTCAGAATGAAGAAGCCCATATGTAGTCAAGTCTCCTCGAGGATGGCAATCATTGGTTTCGTTATTACATTTTCATTTGAATTCTTGCTTGTTTGTTTAAACATTCCTTGTATATAAAAACTTGTCTATTTTTGAATGAAAATCTTAATGCAATAAGTATGCTTGTCTTGAAGTGCTCCTTTTTTTTTATTCATTCATCTGTTATAACTCTTTAAATGTTTTACTTGCATATTGATGCCAAGTTTCCAAGTCTTATGCTTAGGTAATGATTGGAGGGAGGATGACGATAATATAAAAATGCAAAAATCTCTGGTTGGTATGCTTTTGAGTAAGACCCTGCTGACGATGTACATGCCTTATTTCTATTCCTAAATACCAGAGATATAAGGGGGGTAGACACTCGTTAACCCCTTTGAGCCTTCGAAGTAAGAGTTTCTTTTCTGTTCATAAAAAACCCTCATTTTAACCCTGGGTCGGGTAGTGTTCAGTTAATCTAATCAAGCATTCAGAACTCATCAAGAGTGTGCATCCAAGGATACAACAATGGTTATCCATCAAAAGGTTGAGGAAAGTCAAAACCACAATGGTTAACCCTCATCTATCAGCAACGTGCATCAGTTAACGATATGCCAATGGGTATCTCTCGCACATCAGGAGGTCAACAGATGATGATACAACAATGGCTACCCCTTATCTACCAAAGACCCAGACAATCACAGTCACTTCCAACAAATCAAAGACAATGCAAAGATCAATGACTTGTTCAAAAAGGGAAAGTATGAATAAGAAAGAAACAAAAGGCCCTGCTAATTCGAAACTTGTTCCAAATTGAAATTCAAAATAATTTTTCCAGGCAAAAGCAAGAAAGAAATTGAAAATCCTAAAAGGAGAGAAAAGAATTACCAATAAGAACCCTCATCGAAAGAAT